GTTAGAGACCGGAATTTGACATATCACATTAAACTCTTTTAAATAATTTTCTTTACTTAATGGCACAGTAAACAAACAATTAATCTTTATTGTTTATGTTGGTATCCGTGTAGCATCTCAATTTATGGTATCCGTAGTAGCATCTCAATTTAGATGTCCAATTCGCTAATTGACATAAAAGGAATTTTATACAATGTGTGTATATGTGTGTAATGTGCGTTTGTGTGTACGTGGGTATATTGTATGTATATTTATTTATTTTATGTTTGTATATATATATGTTGACCTATATGCATAAGTATTTAAATATAAATAATAATATTTCCTAGATCAGCCATGACAAACTTAGTATTGTTTTTGATCAAAGTTTTTGTTACTTTTCTTTTCTTACTTCTGATTCATGCTAAATTGTAAAAAGTGGATGACTGGTATTGGCCCTATGTAAAGACATATTATACAATAATTATTTATCACAGAGTGAAGGCTGTTGTTATCCCTAATAATATAAAATAAAATAAATAAAATAATATAACAATAAAAAGCGGCTAATTTATGTTGCCACGGATGACATGATGACGCAGGAATGACCGTGTCGGTATGAGTTGGCTTTCGATAAATTTGAAATTCATGTAACGACTCTTTCCTTGTTATTGTTAAATCGAGGAAATTAAGGACACCCCAAGCAGCATGCAAGTTGTATACGAGCTGTATTGAAGTTCCTTTTTATACCACAGGCTGCATTTACTGGCTGTACAAAGGCTGTATAAGCGCTTATACAGCTCTTATTAGTAAAAAATTGGCACAAATTATAAAGCTTTATGCGTTAGTAGCACTGTACAGTAGCTGTACAAGCACAAAAGGGGCTGTATAATAGCTGTATTATAGCTGTTATTTGGTGTACAAGGACACTATTACACTACAAATACTATCTTATAAGTATCTTTTACAGATAAACGTTCTAAATTGGTGTTTGAACGGTATCACAAATTAAATTATGACAAAAACAACTTAATAGGTTAACACTATTGAATGATGGCGACATTTATAGTGAGTTAAAGATTATATTACATATTAATATTACTTGGATTGGAGTTGAGTTTTGACGGTGATAACTGGTGAATAGAAAGTGCAAAATTAGGTTTACGGTAAACTTGTATATGATTTCTATCAAAAAATTGCCGCGCCAGTAAAATAACGAAATAATATAAGGACAAAATACTAAATATGGTAAGTAAACATTGATTTTATAGGTTAGAATAAGAAAATAATTAAATTAGTGAATATGAATGCATATTGGGGCAAGGTGATCATTAGTCAAACTAAAAATAATGTTTTAGGCTAAAACTAATGTCTCATATTCCTAAATTTATAATTTAAACTTTGTTTTAATAGGTCCTAAAATGGCTACAATTTGCTAAACAGCCTAAAGGATATTTCGAGGGTCTTATAGTCTTAGTAGCTCTACTATGTATGTTATGGATTCTATTATACAGCCATTAGTTTTTAATCAGCTGTATAATAGAATATTTTTATTACTAACGCTGTATAGTAGTTTTTAAAACATCACAGATAATTGTCTTTAGAGATATGTATAAAAGATGAAAAACCTATGTCTTAGAAACAACACTTTTATCCCTTCTTCACTTTATCTCATTTAAATAATAATATTTTAAGATTTAATCGTGTTTAAGTAATTTTGTTATTTTATTTTATGGACAAGGACAAAAAAGTGCGTACTTCTTTCACTTCTTTTAAGACAGATACTGTATAAAGCCACACAGACAAAGTTAATAAATTGAAAAATCTTTTTATTTTTGTGCTACTGAAGGAATATTTTATCTCGCTCAACAGTACGGTACCAGTACAAGCATGCTGTTTATTTTGTTATTGTGTTTAGTTGATAGGTAACTCCTGGCAAGCGCATACGCATATCGTTTTCTATTCATAATCTTACGTCACGTAGGTACGGCAAAACCAAAAGAGTTACCTAGCTATTTTATTTGATACATAATTTAACTTTTGTGAAGTAATTTGACTATGTTGTGTATCTTATACTGGATTTATTTTATTTTTTAGGAAAATGTGCCGTTTAAAATTTTTGAAACCATAGAGAAAGTGAAAAATTACATTTTCAATGTTCAAAAACCAAGTTTGTGGGAATCAAAAGGCATTTTAAGATGGCCAAAAATAGATGCTAATATAAATAATATAAATCATTTGAAGCTACTTAAGATATATTTCTTTCTGTGGCCCAATTCTTCAATTTGCTGGCAAAATAAATAGATTTTTTGAAAATTCGCTGTTATTATCATTTGAACTACTTGTGCTGCTGCATGATAAATTATCATAATCAGGTGCCGAAAACTTAGTTACATTTGACATAACTGTGATCATGATTAACACTGTTTAATGTTTTTGTTACGGAACCCTCTTTGTTAGCCGTCGATGGGATTGACGCTTGACTGTAGCTTGTCTGATTTATTAAAGTATTTCTATATTCTTCAGTATCCCTATTATTACGTTGATAATTTGTAATATTTAAATATTCCCTTTTAATTCTTCCTCTAACTGCACCAAATCTTTTTCTTTTTTTACACATATTGATAACAAATTAATTTGTTCACTATAGCACAATATATTAAACACGCAATTACGAATTCAAAATGGCGATATTCTATCATTTATACAGACTTAACCTGTACTATAGCTGTTATTTTTTTTTTAGTTTTATATCACTCTCATAGACGAAGTTATAAAACTACTGTATTTACAAGAGTGTACAATTACGCCATAAGAATAAGTTTTAGTAGGGAGATCACATACACCATTGTACAGAAATAATATTTGAATGATACTATTATAACACTTAAAGCTGTAATAAGCAAGTGACAGCGTGCAAAACCAGCTTCTATACAGTTTTAATGATAAAATCAGATTGAAGTGTAACAAAATACTTAAAGCTGTATAGTAGAGTTTTCATATTCTGATTAAGAACCCTAAGCTTACTTAGATTCCATAATACAGACTTTATACAGCTTGAGCTATATAATAACTCATAAGCCACTCTTATAAGTATACAATCTGTTTTCGACACTCTTATACGCTTCTAATAGAACTCTAAGTTCTATATGGGCTGGTATATTGATGTTCATAACGCTTGTGTGCTGCTTGGGACAATCTTGTTCCAATTCAAGCTTAAATTTAATTTTGTCTTGGATTTTATTAATTTTATTAGGGAAACATCCAGTTGCCTCTTTGTGCCAGTCCAGCAAATAATTATGTCGTCTACATATTGATAATAGTATAAGATATTTTGATTGACAACTATGTGTTGTTATTCAAAATTATCCATAAAAATGTCCGCCATAAGAGGACTAAGAGGGGAACCCATGGCTAACCCTTCTTTTTGTAGATAAAAGTGGTTATTAAACCGGAAATAGTTTTGTTTCATACACAGAGAGGTTAACTTTAGAAGATCATTTGTTTCCCCGGGATGTAGACGACGTTTATTAAAGAGATCTGCGAGTATACGCAAACAGTCTGGGGATGGGACATTTGTGAAAAGACTATCAACGTCTAAAGATTTTAACGGTGGTAGAGCCACGCAGCAGTTTATGCTGTTGCACGTATGGGCCGGCTCGAGCCGGGTTGGTACCACGTCCTCACAGAATACCGGCGTGAAGTAGAAGCTCTGCTTCTGCGTTTCGTCTGGTGAGTGCAGGTGGCCGGAGGCTCAATTCCCCCCCCCCCCCCCATCAACATGGTAGCGGAATTACACGCAAGACTACCCCAGGAGGGTACCAGCACCCCTGGAGAATCCCTCGCTGAGCATCCACGACCATGTTATTCCAATCCTGAGCGTGGGTGCTCAGGCTGCCCCGCGTATTCTGGGGGGGGGGGGGGGGGGGGGGCAAAATTCCGCTCAAAAACATAACTGCTCGGGGCAAACTGAGCAACAATACCAAGGCGACCCCTGCCACGCTATCCGTGAATTTCTGCAACATCAGGGGACTTCACTCTAACCTAAACGCCGTCCACTACCATCTCGAGACGGCGAAGCCGGCCTTGCTCTTTCTAACCGAGACGCAGGTTTTCTCTCCGGCTGATATTTCGTATCTCTCCTACCCGGGGTACAAACTGGAGCACTCCTTTGTGCTTCGGGCTGGAGTTTGCGTGTATGTCAGAGAGGACATCTATTCTCGACGCCTCGGCAGTCTTGAAGGTTCGGACCTGTCCATCCTTTGGCTACGCATAGACAGCGACGACCATCCGCGCGTCTACGGGTGCCTCTATAGCAGCGGTTCCCGAAAGGTGGTCCGCGGAACCCTGGGGTTCCGTGAAAAGGCCGCAAGGGTTCCGTAAAAAATATTATCACACGTTTCGTGACCAACGTTGTTCGCTCGCGCGCACCGACTTGTTTACGCACGAGATAGGGGCAGGGCGTGCGGGCGAAGTAGTACAGCGCCAAAGATTACTAAATAGTGACAGCGCGCACAATGTCTCCATATGTAAATCGAGAGTTACCGTGTTGCAAGGGTAAAAATACCGTGTTTCTTGATAAAATTACGGTGGATTTACTAAAACTTTACCGTGTAAATTACCGTGTAACTTTTCTAAGAAAAATACAACATTATGAACCAAACCAAGTCCAAATATGTTTGCTTTTAATTAATTACTAATAAAATTTTAAAAAACCGGTAATTACCGTGTATATGGAGACACTGGCGCGCACAGCCCCCCACGCCCCGCGCGCCCGTGTTGCAGCGACGCGACGGCGCGGCGGGGCTGATTATACCGGTCTAGATCGCGATAAGAGCACACGTATTTCAATTATTGAATTAGTGAATAGCTGCAGTGAAAAAATACCTGTTGTTGGGTACCTATTGATCTGGAATTTTTTTACTGGTAAGTCACAATGTTTTTGTTTATTTGTAGACACATTTTCGAAATAAAATACGAGAGATATATTCACGTGTTATTTTTATTGTAGGTAGTTCAAAATGGAAAGTTGGCTCAAAACGGGGCGCCTCACAAGTGGCAAAAGGATTTCGGATTCTTCATTAAATTCAGAGCCACCAGCAGTGTGTATTGAAAATATTTCAGAAAATGTTCCTGGATCGTCGGTAAGAAAGTTATGCATAAGTTTTTTTTACAATTATTTGGGTAATTTACTGTGATACAAGTTATTTACTAAATTTACTAAATTTACTAATTTTATTTATTGTCGATTATACGTATGGCTATGGTGGTTATCATTGTTTGTCAATTCTTTTCAGGGTTTGCTAAATACACAAGACCCTAGTGCCGGACTGAATATACAACATACAATCACCAAAAGAGTTGCAACCCAGGAGAAAACTTCTTCAAAAAAGAGAAGATACGACGAATCCTACTTGTCCTTTGGATTTGTTCCTGTGGGAATGACTGAGAACTCGGATGGACAATGTGTGATTTGCAACAAAATAATAAGTAATAGCTCACTGGTACCTGCAAAGCTTAAACGACATCTTGACACGAACCACCCAGAACTGAAAGATAAAAGCGTCAGCTTTTTTGAAAGACACAAAGAAGTGCGTAGAACTGGTGCAGCTGCTATACAAAAATTTGTAAAGACCGATAATGAAAATGCAACAGAGGCATCATTTCTGCTAAGTTACAAAATCGCTCCTGCTGGTAAACCACACACGATTGCAGAGGATTTAATAAAACCATGTATGACAGAAATTGTCACTTGTGTACTTGGAGAAGAAGCAGCAAAGAAAGTGTCAGCAGTGCAGTGTTCAAATAACGTCATTTCTGATCGAATTCATAAGATTTCTGACCATATTCAAGATGAATTAATTAGTAGATTGAAGACCAGCGAGATGTTTGCAATGCAACTGGACGAAAGTACAGATGTCGTCGGGTTATCAATACTGCTTGTTTTTGTGAGATATCCCTTTGGAGGATCTATTGAAGAGGATTTGTTTCTTTGTACTCCTTTAGAAACCAACACAACCGGAGAAGAAATTTTTAAAGTTATCGACTAAGCACCATATTGATTGGAATAAATGTATTGACGTGTGTAGTGATGGAGCGGCAGCTATGGTTGGCAAAATAAAAGGCACTGTAACAAGAATCAAGGAGGTTGCACCTAAATGTAGTAGCAGTCACTGCGTTTTACATCGCCATGCCCTTGTCGCAAAAAAAATGCAATACGAGCTCAAGACAGTTCTCGACCAAGCAGTACTAATTGTAAACTACGTTAAATCACGTCCACTCCAGTCGAGGCTTTTTAAAAAAGTGTGTGAGGATATAGGAAGTCAGCATCAATCACTTCTTCTTCACACGGAAGTAAGATGGCTTTCAAGAGGAAGAGTTCTATTAAGGCTGTTTGAATTGCACGACGAGCTTAAGATATTCTTTACCAAACAACCAGTTTCTGCACACGTTAATAAGCTTGTTGAACTGCTGCATGATGAGCAATGGTTGATGCAATTGGCTTATTTAGCTGATATATTCGATAAGCTCAACGTAATCTGCAAGGCATTACAGGGACGAGCTACAACAAAATTTACAGTAAATGATAAAATGTCTTCACTGAAAAACAAGCTTGCGTTCTGGATTGAATGTGTTGAAAAACATAATTACGAATGTTTCACAATATTAAATGACTTTCTAAAAGAAAATGAGCTGCGGGTATCTTCAGACGTGGAAAAGAATATACATGAGCATTTGACAAGCCTTACAAAATCTTTGCATGAGTATTTTCCGGAGCAGTTGCAGGACATGGACTGGGTGCAGAATCCGTTTGTAAATCACACCAAACCTTCGATGCTGTCGGTGTCAGAGTATGAGAATTTGATTGACATCAAATTTTCATCAACGCTAAAACAAAAGTATGAAGAAGGATGTTCGCGCAAAACACTTTCAAGGATTGACGCGAGAGGGCGCTCGGCTCGGTGCATTCATACCAGTTTGACTTTCGGTCGTGCGAAGAACGCCCAAGGGCATTCAGTCGTCTTTAATCGGTGCTGACGTGAGCACGCGGTCCATTCTGTTAGGGAACTCGGAATAATTCGGCGCGGCCAGTAAATATACGGTCTATCATTGTGACGCGCATTCCTACTGGAGAGCTTCCCGGGACTTATTGTGTCTGACTCAAAACCTGCATAAGTGCATTCGGCAATATTAGATAGTGCGGCCTCTGATTCTAGAATTAACTATTGCTACGCGAAACGGTAGTGACCTTTGACCCTTTAAACTCCGTGTGCGTTTGTGCGGGAACCATTATACCCAGCGATAGTTAGTGGCTTCTGTAAGTTAGTAAATCGTACGATAGAGTTAATTGACTGGCAACGTGACGAAAGAAGAAAGTGACTGTGGACTACCTCGAAAGGCGCCCTCAAGTTGGAGCGGTGTCGACGCTCGGGCTGCTGCCGACGGCCAAGGTCTAGGATCAATCACCATCAGTCACACCCAGATACACACCACATCACCATCCTTTCCCTTGCACTACACAACCACATGTGACCTGACCGACTCCGGAGGGACCAGTCGCCTTGGATAGGTAAGTAAGCTTCATCCAAATTCCTTCCGGTCGACTGGCCGTAGTATGACGCTCCCCCATATATTTTAATGTAATTAGGAACTTCCACGTGGCCACATTGGGGCCCGACCTACGTCTGTTCGGGAAATCTTCAGCTCATGGGCCCCTGAAGATTGGATCCTTTAAAGGAGCAGCCGTAGGCCGTAACAAACTGGTAGCAGAGCGCGGTTCCGGGTTCGATTCCCCGGTCGATCCCGACCGTAGTGTTTGATAAACATTAAACAATTCTGGTGGCAGGGAGCGTTGGTTTGATTGGTTTAATTTGTATCTACAATCACGCCCGTCCGTAATACGTAAAAATATTTTTTTGTACGTAATAATAGAATTATTTTCCTTTGTTGCTTTGTTGCTTGCCTTTTTTTGGTTAGAGGGTAATTTGAAAAGCCGCGCCCTAGGTTGTGCAAGCGGGAGTTTTCTAGAGATATACGTCATGTAGGTAGATGGTTATTTTTACGTAATCGGTTAATTATCGTTGTCGGATAGTTGTAGTGGATTACTTATCGAAGGGTCGATTTCCGAGCTAGGCATTTTTTGTTGATCGACCGTGATGTGTATCTTCGTTTATACTGTAAGTTGTATTTGAACTAAAGAGTAGTAATGGTATTTGCGCCATTTGAATTTAACTTGATTTGATCGCACTAGTATTTGTTATTTGTTAATTTGATTTGTGCCTTTTCTTTTGTGCTAACATGTATTTGGTTGATACGTAGTAATTCGTATTTGTGTAATTTCTATTCAACGCGATTTGATAGGAACTGCATTTATTAACTGTTAATTTTTGTTGTATTTTTTGTTTGTTATCTTGTAATCCGTGCTCAAGCCGCGTCGTAATTTGCATTTAATAGTGATGACATCGCCCAAGCTACTGATCCGTTGTTTGCGGACTGAGCTACGCTGGGCCACAAACGCCCATGCTTTGATAGGTCGACCAGATAGGGTCCATAACTTGATGAAGCGGTTCGAGCAGGTGGATGCTCGAAGGGCCGCAGTGGAGGAGGCTTACGCTGAGCTCGAGGATTCGGATGTGGAGAAGGGAGTCCTGGACTCCTGCTTCGCGGACTATGAGCAGTTCTTGTGGCTCATGGACGAGTTGATCGAGGCTGAAGGCAGGTATGCCGAGGAAGCGCGTGAAGCTCGGATGAGTGACCTGTCCGCGTCCTCTCTGAAGCAGCTTCAGCCAGAGCTGTTGGGACGACTCCCAACTCTGTACCTGCCAAAGTTCTCCGGGGTCCATTCCGAATGGCTGACCTTCGTTGGTCTTTTCGACAGCCTAGTGGACGCCCGGAGTGACCTGACCCCGAGACAAAAGATGGCGTACCTCCTGGCCTCACTGGAGGGGGAGGCCCTGGGCGTCGTCGGCCACTTGAAATTGTCGGACGACGCCTACCAGACTGCTCGGGACCTCCTAGCCAGAAGATACGCCAACGTCCGGCGAATTGCAGACGAGCATGTTAAGCAGCTTCTAAGCCTCCCGCTGCTTAGTGACCGGGCCAGACTGCGTCCGGACCTGTTGGATCCAGTCTTGGTGGCCTGTAATACGTTGAGGCGGCTGGGTTTACCAGTGGGCGAATGGGCCTTTTTGTTGCTCCGCATAGTGCTGTCCCGTCTACCTCTCGACCTTCGACTCCATTTTGAGGAGAGGTACGGCGGGGACGAGGCCTCCTATATTCCGCCCTTCTATGACCTGCTGCGGTTTTTAGAGGAGCAGTGCCGGCAGATCGAGAACGCGGCGGGCACCGTTGACGACTTACGAGATGTGCCCAGTGAGAGGCTGAACCCGCCAGGCAAGTCGTCGTCAACCCCCCCCCCCCCCTGCTCCTATTGTCGAGCACCTGATCACCGGGTAACGTTGTGCCCGAAATTATTAGGTAAGCCGGTTCCTGCGAGGCGAACTATCGCCAAGGAGCGCCGCTGGTGCTGGTCATGTCTGGGAGGGCACCTCCAGCGAGACTGTCCGCATCGACGGCCCTGTCTGCATTGCCAGGGCAATCACCATGCCGTTTTGTGCCTGGGTGCGAACGGCGTCTCCTCTCGGGGCTCTGCCAGGCCCTCGACCCCCACGGGCGGGGGCGCTCAGCCACGCCCTCTGCCGGGCGACTCTCGGCGCCCGCCGGCCAGCCATCAGGCCCCTAAGTTTGAAAGGGATCCCTTCCCCGACCAGTCGGGGGGTAATTCCCCCAGGGGTGGGGGTGTCATCATTCCCCCTAAGCGTGTGGAGAGGAACTTCACGGCCACTCATCGGTCCGCTGGACCCTTCGCACTCCCGTTAGCTGAGTGGCCGCGACTGGTGTACCACTGTTCCCCATTTGATGGAGGCGGCCCTGGCTAGCTGCCGCCTTAGCTCCCACCACGGCCACCTACACTGAGCCTTAAGCCGTCAACAGTCCACTTGTCAAAATGTTCTGTTGCCGACGGCCTCAGTGAAGGCGTACAACCCGAGTGGCGACTGTTAGCGATCTCGGGTTCACGCCATGTGGCCTCCCCTTGGTGGTGGGAAGATTAGGGCCCCTCTGGAGCGTTGAATCACGCTGTCAAGGGGTGGTTGGTTTGGTCGAGCACTTAGTCAAAAAAAATACTTGAATTAAAATTAAAAAACTGCTTTGGGCTTTCCGCGAAATTTTCCTATTTGTAGCGGTTTAAATTAAAAGAATTGAATTTAATCTACTCCTTTAAATGCTACTGCATGTGTTTTGTACATATATTTAATCACTGTATTTGATTGTTGCGTCTGTTTGCTGAAAGGAAATTGAATGGCGCGCTATTTGAAAAATTATGTAACATATACATAGATAGTGTTTAATCGTTTTGCTTTGCGAAGAAGTAGGGCTGTCCCTTACGTTATTGTTTTGTTTAATTTGCAAGTTGACCTATGCGCATCGGTGATTAATTTGGTTGAATTAATTCTGTAGTTGAACATTGATGCTTTTGAAAAATTAGTTGAAATATGAGCATAGGACTACTTGCCTAACAGGCTAGCTAGTTTTGGAGATTATCAGATTGAAATCAGCTGCCGCACTATTTTAGTAAATGATAATATGGTGGGTGGCCTGGCTAGGCCTACTTGTTGAAAATTCATACTAGGGACTATCTGTGCGTTTCGTTCGGCTCTCCACAGACGACGTTCATGTGGAATTTGTGGGTGCTCTCTGCACTGAAGCTTAGGAGGCCGCTCGGGGCCGCTTCGTGTCGCGTCGCTGTTTGCAGAGCTGATCCGGTCGGATTGCGGAACTAATCATAGGGGCACAGATAGGTGTTTGAAAGAGGTCGTCGGACTTCTGTCCAGTACAGGACTTGTTAAAGTGCTGCGATGCCCAGGAGGGGCATCCAGTGGAGGCTGACCCTCCGGCTTGCCACATTAGGGCTATTTTTTGTGGCGCTGGTTAGGGTTGCAAGATCTGATGGGGTGCCTAAGGTGGCCTAGTTTGGTTGTAGATTCGGTCTTGCAACTTGCCTTCGCGACCTTGTTCCGCTGACCGGTTTGCTCGCGGACCTAAATCCTTATGTCCGGGACGGGGGTTTGTTCGCGCAAAACACTTTCAAGGATTGACGCGAGAGGGCGCTCGGCTCGGTGCATTCATACCAGTTTGACTTTCGGTCGTGCGAAGAACGCCCAAGGGCATTCAGTCGTCTTTAATCGGTGCTGACGTGAGCACGCGGTCCATTCTGTTAGGGAACTCGGAATAATTCGGCGCGGCCAGTAAATATACGGTCTATCATTGTGACGCGCATTCCTACTGGAGAGCTTCCCGGGACTTATTGTGTCTGACTCAAAACCTGCATAAGTGCATTCGGCAATATTAGATAGTGCGGCCTCTGATTCTAGAATTAACTATTGCTACGCGAAACGGTAGTGACCTTTGACCCTTTAAACTCCGTGTGCGTTTGTGCGGGAACCATTATACCCAGCGATAGTTAGTGGCTTCTGTAAGTTAGTAAATCGTACGATAGAGTTAATTGACTGGCAACGTGACGAAAGAAGAAAGTGACTGTGGACTACCTCGAAAGGCGCCCTCAAGTTGGAGCGGTGTCGACGCTCGGGCTGCTGCCGACGGCCAAGGTCTAGGATCAATCACCATCAGTCACACCCAGATACACACCACATCACCATCCTTTCCCTTGCACTACACAACCACATGTGACCTGACCGACTCCGGAGGGACCAGTCGCCTTGGATAGGTAAGTAAGCTTCATCCAAATTCCTTCCGGTCGACTGGCCGTAGTATGACGCTCCCCCATATATTTTAATGTAATTAGGAACTTCCACGTGGCCACATTGGGGCCCGACCTACGTCTGTTCGGGAAATCTTCAGCTCATGGGCCCCTGAAGATTGGATCCTTTAAGGGAGCAGCCGTAGGCCGTAACAAAGGAACTTTTGATTTAAACGCCTTTTGGATTGGACTCAAAGATGAATACCCAGAAATTGTTAATAGAGCCATCACATTACTGTTACCGTTTGTGACGACTTACCGATGCGAGACTGGTTTTTCCGCATATGCTTACACCAAAAGCAAGTACAGAAATAGACTGGATGCAGCTCCAGATTTTCGCGTTCAACTGTCGGACATTAAGCCTAATTTTAATGCTATTTTAAGAAAATATGTAAAAAAATTTCATTCGTCACATTAAATTCACAAACGTGTTTTTATGAATTTAATGTGACGAATGAAATTTTTTGTACGTTTTATTACTTTATGTACCTACCTACATATTCACAGTAAATGTACAAAAATAATTTCATAAAAACTTAATTGTTTTTCATTTATACCTTTTTCAAGGTAGGCAAATTTTCATTTATCAAGGTAGGGTTCCGCTAGGAAAAGTATAATCAATTAGGGTTCCTTGGCAAAAAAAAATTGGGAACCCCTGCTCTATAGGTCCCATAGCGGAAATGCCGAAACAGACCGACTCATCGACCACGTCCAAATGGCTACAGATTCCTTGCTACAAGAGGTCCCATCCGCAGAGATCGTGATCCTTGGCGATTTTAACGCCCACCATGCCGAATGGCTCGGTTCACGTTTAACCGATCATGCGGGGAGATCTGTTTATGACTTTGCCTTGGCATATGGTCTGACACAACTGGTTACTTCGCCTACGCGGATTCCAGATGTGGAGGATCATACACCTTCCCTGTTGGACCTTCTGCTGACCTCTCATCCGGACGGATATCAGGTTTCTGTCGATGCCCCTCTCGGCTCTTCGGACCATTGTTTGATCCGGAGTGTGGTGCCACTCACGCTCCCTCCGCGGTTGCGTTCTGCAGGCTGCCGCCGTGTTTGGCATTACAGGTCGGCGGATTGGGATGGAATGCGGTCTTTCTTTGCATCCTACCCATGGGGGCGGGTTTGCTTCTCGCCGGATGATCCCAGCGCTGTTGCTGACTCTGTCAGTGATGTGGTGCTACAGGGAATGGAACTATTTATTCCATCATCTGTGGTACCCATCGGAGGCAGATCTCAGCCTTGGTTTGGTCGCTCCTGTAAGACTGCATTACGCAGTAAGCAGGAGTGTTATCAAGCCTGGGCTGCGGCTTCGGCGACTCGGGATGTAAACACCAGCACACTTAAAAAGAAGTATAACTTCGCCTACAGGTCCTTCAAAAGAGTTATTGCCAAGGCAAAGTCAGAGCACATAGGCAGAATTGGCGAGAAACTAGTTCGCCTTCCTTCGGGAACCCGTGCATTCTGGTCTCTCGCCAAGGCTGTCCAAGGGAATTTCTGTAAGCCATCACTACCATCTCTGCACAGGGAGGACGACTCACTGGCCCAAGACGCAAAAGACAAAGCTGACCTTTTAGGCTCCCTTTTTGCGTCCAACTCGACTCTTGATGACGGGGGGAAAACACCGCCGACCATCCCGCGGTGTGAGTGCTCCATGCCAGATGTGCTGTTCTCACAGCGCTCGGTTCGCAAAGCACTTCTCTCCCTGGACATCCAGAACTCGAGTGGGCCTGACGGAATCCTCCCAATTGTGCTGAGGACGTGTGCTCCGGAGTTGGCACCGGTCCTAACGCGTCTTTTCCGGTACTCCTACTTCCAAGGCGTAGTCCCGAATTCATGGAAGACAGCTTTTGTCCACCCGATCCCTAAAAAAGGCGACCGCTCAGACCCGTCCAATTATAGGCCTATCGCGATCACCTCCTTGTTCTCCAAAATAATGGAATCCATTATTAACTGCCAGCTCATCCGGTACCTTGAGGATCACCAGCTGATTAGTGACCGCCAATACGGTTTTCGTCGGGGTCGATCAGCTGGTGATCTTCTGGTCTACCTGACCCATAGATGGGCGGCGGCAGTAGAGTCCAAGGGGGAGGCGTTGGCCGTTAGTCTGGACATTGCGAAGGCCTTCGATCGGGTTTGGCACAAAGCGCTTCTTTCGAAGCTCCCTTCCTATGGGCTTCCCGAGAAATTGTGCAATTGAATCACCAGCTTCCTCGCAGATCGGAGCATCAAGGTCGTTGTAGACGGTGCATGTTCTGACTACAAGCCTATTAACGCTGGTATTCCACAAGGCTGTGTGCTATCACCAACGCTGTTTCTTCTGCATATCAATGATATGTTGCTAACTGGTAACATTTATTGCTATACCGATGGTGATGCTCTATACACCGGCCGTGCCAATATTTCTCGGGAAAACGTCGCCGAGTACCGGAACAAACTTGTGTCTGAAGTCGAGTCTTTGTTGAACATTCTCGGATTGGGGGCGACTAAATCTAGTCCAGTTTAATCCTCAGAAGACACAAGTTTGCGCGTTTACCGCTAAAAAGAACCCCTTTGTCGTATCTCCTCAGTTTCAAGGCACTCCCCTTCTTGCCTCAGCCAGTATCGGTATCCTCGGAGTCGACATATCGAGTGACGTGCAGTTTCGTGGTCACTTGGAAGACAAGGCCAAATTGGCCTCTAAAAAGCTTGGCGTACTCAGCAAAGCGGGACAGTATTTCATGCCGGCACACCGCCTGCAACTTTACAAGGCGCAGGTTCGGCCTCATATGGAATACTGTTCCCATCTCTGGGCAGGGGCTCCCCAGTGCCAGCTCCTTCCACTTGACCGCATCCAGCGCAAAGCGGCTCGAATCGTCGACGACCGTGCCCTTTCCGATCGGCTCGATTCTTTGGCACTGCGAAGAGATGTTGCATCCCTTTGCATTTTCTTTCGCATCTACCATGGGGAGTGCTCTGAGGAATTGTTCGGATTAATCCCAGCCGCCAAATTTCACGAACGCACATCGCGGCAGAACTCCCGATACCATCCACACCATCTGGATGATTGGCGGTCCACCACTGTGCGATTTAGAAGATGTTTTCTTCCTCGCACGACTTCCTTGTGGAATCGATTACCATCAGCGATTTTTCCGGACCGATACGACTTAGGGACCTACAAGAAAAGAGCGTACTCCTTTTTAAAAGGCCGGCAACGCATCTGCAATTCCCTCCCTGGTGTTGCAGTTGTTCATGGGCGGCGGTAGTCACTTACCATCAGGTGAGCCGCATGCTCGTTTGCCCCCTCTCCTATAAAAAAAAAGATAACAACATGGATTTAGGTGGAATACGGATATCTTTAATCTTGGAAATGAGATCTAAACTATTTTTAAGGCTGTAAGTTGATTTGAATCCAGATTTCTCCCGCAGAAGGAAGTTTAACTCTTTAGCAAGGAAATAAGCTGGTGCACCTATATATGAGACAACTGGACGAATACGAACATGTTCTTTATGTATTTTAGGTAGCCCATATAAAATGGGTGCTTGAGGATTCATTGGAACAAGACTGCTGCGAGACACGTTGTGGTCGGGAAAAATATATGATGATTGTTGTATACATACTTTAATATCCGAAGTAAACTTTTTGGTGGGGTCAGACTCCAAAAGTTCAAAGTCATCACCTTGGATAACATCGTTAACTTTCTGGCTATACCCGCTATTATCCATAATAAGGATATTAGCGGGTATATTTCCCGACCACAACGTGTCTCGCAGCAGTCTTGTTCTGTCTGCTGGAAACAGCTACCCGTATATGTTGTAGACAGATTGCGGCAGCGTCATTTCCGGGACACCTGAGATTTTGATTGGGATTGAAGGTTCTTCGGAAAGCTTGTACACATTGTTGTTGGAGGCAAACGTAGTTGTGTGTAACAATCCAAGAGCAAGTCTTATTCGACATTATTCCGAAGATATCCCGAACGTCAGTCTGAGCGAGATTAGAATGACTCTCCAGTACTTTAAAACAGTAAGGCTGCTGGTGTGGATTGAATAACAGCGGTGCAGAAGCACCACTGTCATTCAATCGGGAGTAAACAAAGCTGGTGGAAAACTCACAACTCCTGAGGCATGGAACGGTATATAGTAGTCTTGTTCTTCAAGAAAGGTGACAACGTTTCATTAAAACATTGCAAACCGATTTCCCTTCTTAGTCGTGTCTAAGTGCGACAAACGTTTTCTAGAGTCATTACGAATCGTCTTGTACGCAGTCTTGACAACTTTAAGCCTTCTGAACCCCTTCGGCAAATTGTACAGAAGACCAAAGAGTACAATCTACCACTTTGGCTTGCGTTAAAATTTGGGTTGTTATACCGTCCCCTCGATGATGTCAAATAGATCATTGGTAAATCAAGGAGCTGAAGTGTATTATACAATAGGATAATGATGGCTATCCGGGTACACGGAATCAGAGAATGGAACGTATCTAACTGCAGAGAGGTGTGATGTGAGACAAGGTTACGACGAACGACGAAGACGTTACATCCCCGGAAGTATTCACCGATGCATTGAAGCTGCATTCATGTGTCCGAATTAGTTAAATGGGGTGTATGTTGCTACGCTTGTGGGGAACCTAGGCACAGGGCAACAGTACACTGCGTCGGCACGGCACTCAAGTGCCCTTGGTGCTCAGATTTCAGCCGGTCTACTAGCCACAGATTAGGACAAGTGCGTCCTACCTCCCAAAAAAAAGGAAGGAAAAATGAGCAAACACCTGCACCCACCAGCAAGGCAATCGCAGTGACTTCTGTTCTACCTCAGCAATGGAGTAATAGGGTTATAGAATAAAGTCTAATACAGCTTAAATTTGATAGTAACAAAGTGTCTTGCCGTAAAGTGACAGTTAAGAATATCCACTACCTCATATCTTCCCGTGGGTGTCGTAAGAGGCGACAGTGGGAAACATGCAGGAGATCCGCAGCAGCATCTTGATGATAACAGCAATAGTACAATAAAAAACTGCGGTTGCCAACCCGCTCGTCAAGCGTGGCAACTATGGCAAACATCCCCCCATGATGAAAGTTACGAAGAGACGACCCCCAGTCCCCGGCGACCCCGCTATTCCTGGCTACGGAAGAATCTCAGGTGGAGGTTTGGTTTTCACCTACAACGACTCGGACTGGTAACATACAACTGTCGATAAGATCCTGGAGCTGGAAGAAATCTGAAGTCCGAAGAGAGAAGGAGAACATGGTAATTTTGTTTCCGGCAACTTTTTCTAACACCGGAAAGGCGAAAATCTGTCCCAAGGAGGTATCGGATTTATCGTCCACAAATCTCTCGTTAACAACGTTGTAAATATCGTGAGTGTGTCGACGAGGGTTTTCAGGGAATCTCAGGTGGAGGTTCGGTTGTCACCTACGACGACTCGAC